CCCCTCCTACCTTCTTCTTGGGAGGCTGGTCCCCTCCTACCTTCTTCAGCTGGGTGCAAGGGGGTGGGGGGACGGAAGTGTATGGACCTGCTTAGAGGGACACAAGAACCAAAAGGAAGAGATCAGTGGCTTAAGTGCCATAGTCTCACTCTCTCAATAGTCAGTGTTTTTCTCTTTTAAAAGTCTCCTGAAATTCTACCTACTCCAGACTAAGCATAAGGGGAATAGCACTGGGACATTATGATGCTGAGCTCAACTGTACATGTAGAGAAAACTTTGTCTTTGATTCCTGCCATCTTTTCTCATTTCTCTCTAGTCTTCTTTCCTGCACAAGAAACACAGACTTAAAACTATACTGATCAGCTTCACCTGGTTGTTCTGGGAAGGGTATGCAATTAGGCAACCTTAGACCCAAAGGGTAAAATACATACATATTTTCAGTTTTCATCCCATCATCTCCTGATACATTGTAAACGTTCAGTCCTGGGTCCTCATCTATCCAGCCTTAATTTTTCTCATGAAGAATCTTGCACTAACAACCATCTAGGTCACTGGCATCTCAATGTCAACACACAGAAAACAGAAGTCATAATAATCTTTTGGCCAAACCTTTCCCGCCTTCAAATGTCAGGATTTCTGTTTGGCGAACTATAGGTTATATACAGGTTTATAATCTTGGAATCATCCTTAATTCATCCTTTTCCTTCATTCAAACACTACCAATTCTACCCTCATTATATCTCTCCTCTATCCACTTACAAAACCTCTGAGATTACCATCCTATCAACTCTGCATATGTCTTCTATACACCTAGTTATTCTAGCTTGTTTCTCCTATTAAAATTTTCATCCCATCATCTCCTGATACATTGTAAATGTTCAGTCCTGGGTCCTCATCTATCTAGCCTTAATTTTTCTCACAAAGAATCATGCACTAACAACCATCTAGGTCACTGGCATCTCAATTTCAACAGGGCTTTTCTTTGTATAAGTCATTAATAATGGTGACTAATTGGTCTTCTTGCTTCCAAATTTCTCCTCTTCCTAACCTATCTTCCACAGAGCTGCCAAAATAATCCTACCTGAAGGCTAAGTTTAACCATGTCATTCTTCTGCTAAAAAAACTCCAATAAGATAAAACCCAAACCCTTTGTCTTGATGCCAACCTACCTTTTCAGATTCTGTCCGCTGATTAGTCCCCTTCTAGTATGCTAAATCCCACCCAAACTGGACTCCTAAGTGTTCCACTCCCAAATTCCATTTATTTGCAAGAACTATGTACCCCTTGCCTAGATGAAAATTCCTCACTTCCAAATCTATATTACCCTCCAGTTGTTAATATTCTCTCCTTTAAATTCCTCTTTTCTCACAACTTTTTTGTAGGATAAGCAGTCCAAGTATTAGCATCATCATGCTACAGAGGAGAAAATAGGTTCAGAGTACCATCATATAAACATCTCCTAGCTGTAGATTTAACATTCTTTCCACTAAACCAAGCCCATAGATGAGGCTCCTGGTTATTTAATGTTCATGTGTGGTTTTAAAAAAATCACAATTTCCAAAACCATAGTACCTTTAAGTGTACTATTCTGACATGCATTACATGCCATTGGCCACATTCTTCTTCAGGGAGGAAAGCAGAAGTGCACGAGTCAGGCCAAAGGAACTGCACCCGAGGATTGGAAAAAGGCACTCAAGATTGTTAGTTGGGAAATATGACTTTATGCCTTTGTATCAAGGTCCCAACCCTGTACCCATTGAGTTAAACAGAAAAAGGATCAACTGTGTCCATTTTTGGGCTGAGATGGAGATGGGATTCAGAAACTCTGACGCTGAACCCATTCCGGGGAGCTCGGGCTGCCGCAGAGGTAGGTGTGACAACAGAATAAAGAGACCTGGAAAATGGCCTCCTTCTTCACCTCACTCACCCTGCTTGGCTCTGAGCGGTTTTGTCTTCTGTTTCTCTTCCTCTTCATCCTCACTGGAGGAATCTTCACTGCTGGAACTCTTCTGGGCAGCTTTCACAGGTGTCTTGGATGGAGCTGGCTTCTTCAGTACAGCCTTAATTACAACATACCAATCAATACCAATGCTTGGTGATGGGACACCCCCCCCATCAAGAGAAAAGAGCTTCAACCTTTTTGTGTGGAGCTGCTGCTGCTACCTCCTCCTCTGAGTCACTACTACTACTACCGCTGCTGCCGCCGCTGCTGCTGCTGCTGCTGCTGCTGCTGCTACTGCTGCTGCTGCTTTCACTAGCTTTGCCATTGGCTAATTTGGAGGTGACCTGGGCAGTCGTGCCTAGGAGGGAAAAATGGGATCAATTCAGTTCACCTATTAAATGCCTCCTGAGTACAAGGTCTCATACTAGGTATTAAACAAATATTTTGCCAGGAAAGATTGATTTTGTCTCCATTTAATTCTGCCCCCACCCCCAAAATGTAAGAACAGAAATGTCACTATCCCTAAGGCTTCAGGTGGGAAGAATACATTAAGACTTATTCAGGGGGCAGGTAGGTGGTGCAGTGGACAGAGCACCGGCCCTGGATTCAAGAGGACCTGAGTTCAAATCCGGCCTCAGAGACATAACACTTAACTAGCTGTGTGACTCTGGGCAAGTCACTTAACCCCCACTGCCCAACTTAAAAAAAAAAAAAAACTTAATTCAAGTACCTCCTTAATCATTCTGATTAAAGATTGGCCGAAGTTTATAACATAGTCTCCTGCCCCACTCCCCATTTTAGATGAAAGAGAATACAAAGGTTTTTCTCTTCAGTAACTACATACTGCCTTCAAAGGAATCCCTGGTGACAGCCAAGCAGCCTACCACAGGAAAAATGTGAGCATATATGCTGGGAGGCGGAGAGAGCCAATTCTAACATCCCCGGTCACAAAATGACCAAGTTCCTTGCCACCCCTTTTCCTAAAGAAAAATCCTTACTTGAGGAAAGAAAAGTACCTGGGGTCTTAACCGGAGTCTTAGCTGTGGCCTTGGCTGGGGTCTTAACTGGAGTCTTTGGTTTCTGTTTCTTTTCAGCTTCGTCCTCTGAGCTGGAGTCAGAGTCAGAGTCGGAGTCGGAATCGGAATCGGAGTCAGAGCTGGAGCTTTCAGCTTTCTTGGGCTGAGCTGCCTTGGGGGACGGTTTGGCTGCCTTGGCTGGGGGCTTGGCTCCCTTCTATTAGGAGGAGGAACAAGTATTCAGCAAAAGGCTTCTGGGTGTCCAGACAAGGGCACCCTGGAACAGAGCAACATGGAGAATCCACCCTGACACCAGCCAGGACAAATTCACGTCAGAAGGATTTCCTTTCTGATGGCATCTCTGTATCAAGTCCTATAGCAGACATAGATTCCTGCCCCCACCTCCTCTCCTGGAACCCACATATTCTAACCTGGGCAGACTTCTTCTGGCTTTTGTTGTCTTCTTCCTCACTGGAGTCTTCACTGCTACTGCTACTCTCTGCTGCTTTGGCAGGAATGGTTGATTTCCCAGGCTGAGGGGATGTACCAGGTGGCTTGGTGGCTGGGGAAGAATATGGAATTGGTGAGAATTAGGCTTCTGGACAAGGTGAGTATTCCCAAGTGAGAGAGAAGAACCTTCATGTGCTTTAGCTAGAAATCAAACACTTGGAAAGAACACACTCCTCCCCCACTACATGCCCTGCTCACCCACCCCCCAAAAATCATCCCTTACCTAGTTTCTTGACTGGAAGCTGTTTGGTCTCTCCTTTATGACTGCTGTCACCAGAAGCAGGGGATTTCTTAGCTTTCTTTGCCACTGGTCCGTTAGCCTGCAACTTCCGCTTCTGAGTTTTAGAAGACCTACTGGGTTGGGAAAGGATAAAATGAACTTTAATAAGGGGCTGGCCTATGACCCACCAGGGAAGATAGAGCTAAAGGGGGCAGAAGGGACTTACTTGAGCCAGAAACTATAAATGTCCAAAAGGGAAGTAGCGTTGGGGTCCTGTTGGGCCTACAAGGACAAAAAGAAGTAGAGCTCACATTTCTAAAATGCTGGAATTTTTGCAGTCATACCCAAAAAGTTCTATCTGGTTAAGTTAGTCTACTGTTCCAACCCGAGCTTTTTTTGATCCTAACATGTTTTAGCTAGCCTTCCCTTCTTCACATCATCTACAAATCAGAGAAGTATGCCATTATGTTTTCATATAGATAAACTCAAATTATGGAACACTTAATAAGCACCTACCACGTTCAAGTTGCAAGGGATAAAACAATAAAGAGGACATACATCCTGCTTTGTAAGGATCTTACAATAAATTCTGATACAAGGAATAGCATGATAGGAACAAGGGAAAGGTCCAGGCAAAATTATAAACCTCTATATTAAATATTTGAATTAACTGACTGAGGAAGGAACCATTTTCAGTTAGGGAGGGAGGACTCAAGGAAGGCTTCACTGCAGAGTGGCACCTGAATTAGGCCTTGAAGGGAGAGTGTTAGCAAAGCCACAGAAACAGGAAACAGGAGAATGGGGAATGGAGAATAGTCCAATTTGGCTGGAACATAGAATAACAACTCAGAATCATATTGTGCTTAAAATTAACGAAGCACTTTCCCTACAACCCTATGATGTAGTAAGTACAAGTAATGTTTTTTACAATAGAAGAACTGAAGCTCAAAAAAGTTGTTTAACTTGCCCCCATGGCCCCAAGTCAAAGGCAAAACATAAACCTAGATCATGTGACTCAAAAATCAGCATTCTTCTATTCTAAAATTTGGGCTTGCAAATCAAAAGCAATTATTATAAAGCACTGATTTCTATAACTCTTACTATAAACTTTAAGCCTAGTCCACTGGAACAAAAAATATTCATTTTTTCTTCTTGCTGAGGGATGGAGGGTGAATACAGTGGGAGAGAGAGAGAATACAGTGATAGGTGCTTGGCAGAGTCAAATAATTCAAGTACACTGAAAAGACTACTCGAGTATAAAGTGGAAGACTCACTACTCAGAATGCTATATCAATGTGGGTGAAAAATCAACCTAAAGTATTTATTACACACTGTGTGCCAGACAGGGCAGGTGCTGGGGACAGAGACAAAAATGGAACAGCCTCTGACTTCACGAAAGTACAGACTAAGTGGTTAAGAGCCTTAACTCACTGCAGTGGAAGTGGAAAGGTGCCCGATACAAAAGACCTAACTGATAAAAACATTAACCAGATTCAGCCAGACACGTCCCTGTTAGTTCTCCCTCTAGAATCATACAGATCTGGTTATTCTTAACCAACACTCCTTGGGTTTCACTGTTCAATTAACCTCAAATCTGGCCAGCTATTACCAAGCAGCCCACCTCTCCTCCCACATCCACAAAACTAAGACACACATTTACCAGTCCTACAGCCTTGCCTCGATTTACCAGGTGAGGTCTCTGTGTCCACGAGTGTGGGAATTTACCACGAAATACTAAAGCTAGGGCCCAAGGATCGCCCTACCTAAGCACCCACTTTCCCGGCGCCCAGGAGGGCCCCCTCACCCCTAGGCCCAGGAGGAACCACGTGCTTTCCTCTCCCCTCGCCAGGTGGTAAGATTGCCCTTTTGCCCGCGCGCGTGGGGACTCACGGTTCCCGTAGCCTTAGCAAACTTGCTTGCAGCCTCTGGAAACTGATTGTCGCGCAGGAAACCGAGCACGAGAGGGAACAAGTCGCTGGGCACCACGCGTAACACCTCTTGCTCCGCCATCCTCCAGGTTCAAATGCGTCACTGCCGCGACTTAGGGCTAGACGTCGCACATAATGAGGTCACTCCGGCATGGCGAGGGTGAAGGGAACCGGGTGTTGCGTCACCGCCCAAGCGCCGGAAAAGGCGGGGACTCAGACCTGCCCGCCCACTCCAAAAACCCTTCCTTTACCTTTTTCCCACCACCCTTGGTCCCAACGCAGACATCTTGGTAAAGAAAAAGGCCGGTCGAACCACTCAGCTTGTCTCGTCTCGTTGGTAAGGGCGGGGCAGTGGCGTCATCGCTCCGCCCACTTCCTGACGCATTGGCGGGAAAGCTCGACTCTGGCCTCGGCCGCCACCTTGTCGGGGCTGGGGCGGGCGGGCCTCCAGCTAACTACTTTAGCTCTCCAGACCTGATTTTCCTCAGCTGCAAAATGAGAGGCTGGGACTTAAAAGACCTGGGGCTTCTTTCGGGGCAGCCTCCACCCCTCCCACCCGGCGGCCTGGCCGCTGTCCTCCCCGCAGGTTCCTGCTCAATGACCCATCCCCAAATTGATGGGCGATATGTGTGCCAACGAGGGAAGATTGCGAGCCCACCTGGGGTTCATGGGGATCCTGAGAAGAGTAGCAGTCCCCCACACCCACCTACAGCACCCATATGGGGATGGAGGTGGTGCTTCTTGAGATGGGGGATCGTCTTCCCGCTTGCAATTGTATTCCCAGCTTCTAGCAAGGTGCCTGGCGCATAATAAGCGCTTAATAAATGCTAATTGACTGACTGGCTGGTCTTGAGTTTCTTTCCAGCTCAGATATCCGTTGGTTCACAGAGCTTAAAAAAAAAATTTTTTTTTCAGTTCCAAATTACAAATTAAATTGAAAATATATAAAGTTATTCAAAACAAATAGCTAACATATAGCACTTACTATGTGTTAGGCACTCTGCTAAGTACTTTACAAAACATCTCATCTGAGCCTCATTACAACCCTGGGAAATAGGTACTATTATTATCTCCATTTTGAAGATGAGGAAATTGAGGCAAACATGTTAAGGAACTTGCCCGGGGTCACATAGTAGTATCTGATCCTGGATTTGAACTCAGGTTTTCCTACCTTTAGTCCCAGCACTCTTTTCCGTTCCATCAACTAGCTTCTGGATTCTGAAGGTGGATAGCCTATTTCATCAAAAATCCTTTGTAATTTTGGTTGCTCATTGTGTTCCTCAGAATTCCTAAGTCTTTCCAAGTTGATTATAATACTATTATTATTGCATAAATTTTTCTCCTGGTTCTGCTCACTTCACTTTCCATCAGTTCATGCAAGTCTCTAGTTTCTCTGAAACTATTCGCATCTTCATTTCTTACTGCACAAGAATATTCCATCACATTTATATACCATAACTTGTTCAATCATTCCCCAATTGATAGGCATCCCCTCAGTTTCCATTTATTTGCCACCATAAAAAGAGCCGCTAAAAATATTTTTGTACATATGGGTCCTTTTCCTCTTTTTTTTTGATGCTGTGAGTCAAAAAGGTATAAATAGTTTAATAGCTTTTGGGGCATAGTTCCGAACTACCTTCCAGAAAGGTTAGATCAGTTCAGAGTACCATCAACCTAGACAATCTGAGGGGTGTGAGGTGAAACCTCAGAGTTCTTTTAATTTGCATTTCCCTAATTATTAGTGATTTAGAATATTTTTTCATGACTATTAATAGCTTCTATGTCTTCCTCTGAAAACTGCCTAGTTGTATCCTTTGACCATTTATCAATTCAGGAATGGCTCTTATACTCATAAATTTGAATCAGTTCCATATATATCTTAGAAATGAGACCTTTATCAAAGAAGCATGCTGAAAGATTTCTGTTTCCTGCTTCTCTTTTTTTTTTTGCTGCATTAGTTTTATTTGTGCAAAAACCTTCTAATTTTATATAATCAAAATTGTCCATTTTGCCTTCTGTCAATCTCTCTATTCCATTTGGTTATCAATTCTTCAATCAATAAATCAATATTTATTAAACATCTACTATGTGCCAGGCACTGTGCTAAGTGCTAAGGATACTAAAAGAGGCTCTCCTCCAGGAGCTTACAATCTAATGGAGACAACATACAAACAAATATATATAAAAGCAAACTATATACAGGATAAATAAGAAATAATTAACAGAAGGAAGGCACTAGAATTAAGAGGCTTCCTGTAGAAGGTAGGATTTTAGTTGAGACTTAAATGAAGCCAGCAGTCAATAGTTGGAGTAGAGGAAGGAGAGTGTTCCAGGCACAAGGGAGAGTCAGAGAAAATGCTTGGAACCCGGAGATGGAGTGTCTTGTTTCTGCATCATTCAGGAGGCCAGTGTCACTGAATTGAAAAGTATGTGTCAGGAAATGAGGTGTAAGAAGACTAGAAAGGTAGGAGGGGGCTAGGTTGTGAAGGGCATTGAATTTTGTATTTTGTATTTGTTCCTGGAGACAATAGGGAGCCATTGGAGATTACTGAGTAGGGGGCTGACATGATCAGACTTTGATTTTAGGAAAATCACTTTAGTGGTTGAATGGAGAATGGATTCGAGTGGTGAGAGACTTCCAACAGGCAGACCCACCAGCAGGCTATTGTGGTCATCCAAGGGTGAGGTTATCAGGGTCCACACCAGGGTGGTGACAGTGTCAGAGGAGAAAAGGGGGCATATACAAAATAAGTTGCAAAAGTGAAATTGACAGGCCTTGGCAACTAATTGGATATGAGCAGGTGAGAGATAGTGAGGAATACAGGATGACTCCTAGGTTGTGAGCCTGAGGGACTGGGTGAATGGTGTTCCCCTCTATTCTAAAAGGGAAGTTGGGGAGGGAGGTTTAAGGGGAGAGATAACAAGTTGTGCTTTGGACATATTGAGTTTAAGATGTCTACTGACATCCAGTTTGAGATGTCAGAAAGACAACTGGAAATGGGAGATTGATTACAGGTCAGCAGAGAGTTTGGGGCAGGATAGGTAGAGGTGAGAATCAGCAGAGATGGTAATTAAATCTATGGGAACTAATGAGATCACCAAGTGAAGCTGTAAAGAGAGAAAAGAAAAGGGCATAGGATAGAACCCTGAGGGACACCTATAGTTGGGGGGTGTGATCTGGAGGAGGGTCTGGCAAAGGAGATAGGGAAGGAGCAGATACTAGGAAGAAAACCTGTCCACCAATGACAGGTAACTTCTTCCATGCTCCAATAATTTGCTTATGATGTCACCATTTATGTCTAAATCATGTACCCATTTTAAGATTATCTTGGTAAATGGTGTGAGATACTGGTCTATACCTAGTTTCTGTCATACTACTTTCTAGCTTTCCGAACAACTTTTGTCAGTTCTTGCCCTAATAGCTGAGATCTTTGGGTTTATCAAATATTAGACTTCTGTGCTCCTTTGCTTCTGTATATTAGGTACCTAATCTATTCCATTGAAACTGACCTCTCTATTTCTTGTTCAGGCATTTCAGTCACGTCCAACTCTTTGTAACACCATTTTGGGTTTTCTTGGCAAAGATATTGAAGTGGCTTGCCATTTTCTTCCCCAGTTCACTTTACAGAAAAGGAAACTGAGGCAAACAGGGTTAAGTGACTTGCCCAGGGTCACACAGCTATTACGTGTCTGAGGCTGGATTTGAACTCAAGATGAGTCCTCCTGACTTCAGGTCTGGCACTCTATCTATTATGTCACCAAATTGTTTTAGCAATTAGAGCTTTGTAGTATAGTTTGAAATTTGGTACTGCTGCCCCTCTCCCTCTTATTTTTTTTTTCATTAATTCCTTTGAGATCTTCAATGTTTTGTTCCTCTAGATGAATTTTGTTATTATTTTTCCTTATTCTATGAAATACCTCTGGTAGTGTGATTGGGATAGCACTGAGTAAGTAAAGTAATTTAGGTAATATTGTCATCTTTTTTTTTTGCCTATCCATGAGCAATTAATATTTCTCTAATGTGAAGTGTTTTGTAATTGTGTTCATATAGGGTTCCAGGGCGTGTCTTGGCAAGTAGACTCCCAAATATTTTATGCACTTATTTTGAGTGGAATTTCTCTATCTCTTCCTGTTGTATTTTGCTGGTTATGTAGAGAAATACAGATGATTTGTGCAGATTTATTTTATATGCTGCTTCTTTGCTGAAGTTATTTCAGTTAGTTTTTTAGTTGACTCTAGGCCATCTTATCAGCTGCAAAAAGTGTTGTTTGATCTTTTCCTGGGCTTATTCCTTCTATTTCTTTTTCTTGTCAATGCTACAGCTGGCATTTTTAGTACAATATTGAATAGTAATAGTGATGATGGACATCCTTGGTTCATCTCTGATCTTACTGGAAAGGTTTCTATCTTATTCGCTTTACAGATAATACTGACTTCTTAGTTTTAGATAGATACCACTTATCATTTTAAGAAAGGCCCATGGGGCAGCTAGGTGGCCTGGTGGATAGAGCACCAGCCCTGGAATCAGGAGGACCTGAGTTCAAATTCAGCCTCAGATACAGCACTTAGTAGCTGTGTGACCCTGGGTAAGTCATTTAACCCTAACTGCCTCGACAAAAAGAAAAAAAAGGCTACACTTATTCCTGTGCTTTTTAGTGTTTTTAACAGGAGTAGGTATTGTATTTTGTCCAAAGCTTTTTCTGCATCTATTAGAATGATTTTTGTTGGTTATGAATATGGTCAGTTATGTTTACAGTTATCGTAACATCAAACCAGTTCTGTCTTTCTGGTAAAAATCTAGCTTGACTATAGTATATGATCTTTGTGGGACATGCTGTTATAGTCTCTTTGCTAATATTTTATTTAAAGTTTTGCAGGAATATTCATTAGGGAAAATGGTCTATAGTTTTCTGCTTTGGCTTTCCCTGGTTTAGGTATCAAGACCATATTTGTACCATGGAAGTAACTTGGTAGTACCCCTTCTTTACCTATTTTTTAAATATTTATTTATTTATTTTTGGTTACATTTTAAGTTCCAAACTGTTTCCCTCCCTCCCTCCCTCCCTCCCTCCCTCCCCACCCAGCACTAGAGAAGGCCACCATTTGACACAGACAGACACACACAGATATGTGTATGTCTATGTATATATACATACATACATACACAAATATAAAAACCATACGATGCATACTTCTGTTTATCAGTTTTTCCTCTGGAGGTGGATAGAGTATCTTCCTTCATAGGTCCTTTGAAGTTAATCTGAATATTTATAATACCCAGAATAACTTAGTCATTCACAGTTGTTCTTCGAACAATATTGCTGTTACTGTATACAATGTTCCCTTGGTTTTGCTCATTTCACTCATTATTTCATGCAAGTCTTTTCATGTTTTTTCTAAAATCAACCAACTCATTTCTTACAGCACAGTAGTATTCCATCACAGTCATATACCACAGCTTATATAGCCATTCCCCAACTGATGGGCATCTCCTCACTTTCCAGTTCTTTGGCACCACAAAGAGAGTTTCTATAAATATTTCAGAACACAAAGGTTCTTTTCCTTTTTCCCTGATCACCTTGGGAAAGACCTAATAGTGGTATTGCTGGGTCAAAAGTATAGTTTTATAACTCTTTGAGCATAATTCCAGATTGCTCTCCAATGTATCAGTTCATAATTCCACCAACAGTATAGTAGTGTCCCAATTTTTCCACATCCCCTCCAACATTTGTCATTTTTTCCCCTTCTATCTTTTTAGCTAATCTGATAGATATGAGATTATAGCTCAAAGTTGTTTTAATTTGCATTTCTCTAACCAATAATGATTTAGAGCATTTTTTCATGACTATATATAGTTATGATTTCTTCATCGAAAAACTGCTTGTTCATATCCTTTGACCATTTATCAATTGGGGAATGACTCATAGTCTTATACATTTGACAAAGTTCTCTATATATTTGAGATTTGAGATCTTTATCTGCGAAACTGTCTATAAAAATTTTTCCCCAATCTTCTGCTTTCCTTCTAATCTTGGCTACATTGGTTTTGTTTGTATAAAACATTTTTAATTTAATGTAATCAAAATTATCCATTTTACATCTTACAATGCTCTCTCTCTTATTTACTCATAAGTCCTTCTCCTATCCATTAGTCATGTTCCATGTTCTCCTAATTTTCTTAAAATATCTCCCTTTATATCTAGGTCACATATCCATTTTGATCTTATCTTGCTAAATGGTGTAAGATATTGGTCTATACGCAACTTCTGCCAGGCTGCTTTCCAGTTTTCCCAACAATTTTTACCAAATAGTGAATTCTTATCCCAAAAGCTTAAATCTTTACATTTGTCAAACACAAGGTTACTATAATCATTTATTACTGTATATTGTATGTCAACTCTGTTCCACTGATCCACCTTTCCATTTCTTAGCTAATACCTGATAGTTCTGATAATTACTACCTCATAATATAGTTTAAGATCTGGTAATGCTAAACCTCCTTCCCTTACATTTTTTCATTATTTCTTTTGATTTTCTTCCTAATGAATTTTATTATTTTTCCTAACTCAATAAAATAATTTTCTGGTGACTTAATTGGGAAGGCATTGAATAAGATTAGTTTGAGTAGAATTGTCATTTTTGTTATATTTGCTCTGTCTACCCACGAACAATTAATATTTCTCCAATTATTTAAATCTGACTTTATTTGTATAAAGTGTTTTATAATCATGTCCATGTTAAGTTCCTGGGTTTATCTTGGCAGATATACTCCCAGGTATTTTATACTCTCTAGTTATTTTAAATGGAGTATTGCTTACCATCTCTTCTTGCACGGTTTTTTGGTGAATATACAGAAATGCTGTTGATTTATGTGGGTTAATTTTATATGCTGCTACTTTGCTAAAATTATTAATTATTGCAACTAACTTTTTAGTTGAGTCTCTAGGATTTTCCAAGCATGTCATATTATATACAAAGAAATAGTTTTATTACCTTATTGCCCATTCTGATTCCTGCAATTTCTTTTTCTTCTCTCATTGCTATGGCTAGCATTTCTTTTCTTTTTTTTTAAATGAGGCAATTGGGAGTAAGTGACTGGCCTAGAGTCACACAGCTAGTGAGTGTTATGTGTCTGAGACCAGATTTGAACTCAGGTCCTCCTGACTCCAGGGCCAGTGCACTATCCACTGCACCACCTAGCTGCCCCTAAGAATTTAACATTTTCAACTCTGGGTATTTTTTGTTTTATTTGCTAGCATTTCTAATACAATATTGAATAATACTGGTGATGATGGGCATCCTTGTTTCACTCCTGATCTTACTGGGAAGGCTATTAGATTATCCCCCTTATAAATAATGCTTGCTGATGATTTTAGGTAGATGCTTCTTATCATTTTAAGGAAAAATCCATTTATACCTATGCTCTCAAGTGTTTTTAATAGGAATGAGTGTTATATTTTGTCAAAAACTTTTTCTTCATCTATTGATATAATCACATGATTTTTGTTACTTTTGTTATTTTACAAAATCAACTGTTAATAGTTTTCCTTATGTTAAACCACCCCTGCATTCCTGGAATAAATCCTACTTGGTCACAATGTATAATCTTTATGATACATTGTTGCAGTCTCCTAGCTAGTATTTTACTTATCATTTTTGCATCCATATTAATGAAATTGGTTTATAATTTTCTTCCTGTTTTTGTTCTCATCAGCACATTTGTTTCATAAAAGTAGTTTGGTAGGACCCCTTCTTTGCCTGTTATTCTAAATAGTTTATTTACCTTTTTTTTTCTAAACAGTTTATATAGTACTGGAATTAATTCTTTAAATGTCTGATAGAATTACCTTGTAAATCTATCTGGTCCTGTCTGGGTTTTTTTCCCCCCTTTGGAATTTAATTTATGTCATGTTCAATTTTTTTCTATAATAAGATTAAGTATTTTACTTCCTGTTCTGTGAATCTGAACAATTTATATTTTATAAATATTCAGCCATTTCATTTAGATCATCAGTTTTATTGCCATATAGCTGGGTAAAATAGCTCATAGTTGCTTTTATTCCTTTTTTGATTGTGAATTCATCTTTTTTTTTTTGATACTGGGAATTTGATTTTTTTTTTAATAGTGGCATGTTTTTAAATTCTCATGATTTTGTTAGCTCAAATTTTTTTTTAACTTTCAATTTTGTTAATCTCTCCTTTGATTTTAAGGATTTCTATTTTATTACTTAATAGGAGGTTTTTAAATCATTGGTTTTTTTTTTTTTTTTTAGTGGCACACCCAATTCATTGATCTGCTCTTTCTTAATGAAGAAAGCATTTAGAGATATAAATTTTCCCTTAAGAACTGCTCTGGCTGCATCCTACAAATTCTGGTATGTTATCTCATTGCATTCCTTATCTTTAATGAAATTACTGTTTCTATATCCTTGAGAATTAAGTTATTTAGTTTCCACTTAATTTTTAATGTTTGCTTCAAACGCCCTTTGAGTTCACTGGTTTTAAAGTTAACAATTTGAGTTGTGTGTAAAATAGGTTTGAGGTTTGTAAAAAGCATCAGTCATTGTTTTGATCTTCACAGAACTGCCTGCCCTTCCCACCCTTCCACCCCCATGCTAACAGGTATAACTCTCATTTTCCAGATGAGGAAATAGAACCAAAATAAGTTAAGTGATTTAACCTGCCCAGGACCACATCACTATAGTAAAGAATGTTTGAGGCAGGATTCAGAACCTGATTTCAAATCCAAGGCTTTATAGAATATGAAGTACAGAAAAATACCACCCCAACTCCTCTCTTAGGTAGAACACTACCCCAAGAAACTGGGGACTTACTTCCTAGCATGGGATCATATCTCAAAAGAGGGGAACTATGTTATCCTCAAGCTCTCAAAAGATTTGAGAATAACAACCCTCCACTCCCCAAACTGGTCTCATTCACCTGGTCAATCCTTAGAAGCTTATTATCGACAGCCAAAAATGCCTACTCAGACTTGTTTCCACAAGGGCAGGCAGTAGTGGGAGCCATGTACCCAACAAAAACAGGCCAGACCCATTGCCAATGGTAAGCTAAAAATACCCCTTAAACCCTGGAGAAAGGGGCCTCAGATTCAGAAGCATGATCAGGTAAGATAAAAAAGAACCCAAGATCTTTGGAGATGGAAATATATAGCAACACAATAGATTTTCCTTTTTTTGTTTATTGATCTGCATAGTGATTTAGACCTTCCCCAAATGAGCAGCCCATGCAGTAGGCATCACCCACTTCACAAGGAATGCAAATTTTGTTAAATACTTTTTATAAAAACAAAACTTTTTTTTTTTTAGAAAAATCTCATTTTACTTTTTTTTAATTTCACTTATTTTTCCATTTTCTTTATAAAACAGCCATCTCACTAGCAGCTCTTCCCTCCTCATCCAGAAGCAAAGATTGCTCCAGGGGGGCGAGGGGGAGGGACCTCTGGAGGGACAGGGGCTGGAGGCCCAGGGTTACCTCCGAAGGTTCTTCTGGGCCTGTTTTAGTAATGTGTCAAAGTCGACTGAATCAAATTTGCTCTTCACGGGGGCAGGGTCAAACTCCTCCCAGTTGGAGTCTACAAATGCAGAGGGAAAGACTGATCCTGGGCAAGCTTGAAGAATGACTGACTCCCCCCCGCATAAGCATCAAGGGATCCATACCAAGACACACCACACCCACCCCACTTTTGGCTTCCCCCCTCCAACGGTAGACAGTAAAAATCCTAGGCCATGGGTAAAGAGATCAAGTCTATCCCCTGTTTCTTTAGGCCTCAGCTGCCCAAAGGATGAGTGGGTTGAGGTTTGAAAATGCCTCAAGTCCTAACCCCAACCACCCTGGGTCCCCAGTTCTTAGGTGACTAGAATACTCACCCAAGTCTGCATAATTCCTCTTGCAGAACTGCCTTCGGCCCCCAAAGCAGAGGTCAAAGGGCTGTTCACCTGCTCTTCGAAGCTTGTGACCACTCTCGATGGCTGCAAATGCCTCTTCAGCATATCGGTAAGTGACAAAGCCATAGTTGTCACTTAAGGAGGAAGAGGAGAAAAGAGAGGGTATAAAGAAGATCCTAAGGGACTGTCTCACTAACCTTCATCTCATCACCCCAAAGATAAGAAATACGCTACTTGCTAACTTTTGAAATGAGTGGGAGGTATTATCCCCATGTTGCCATCAGGTACCACTCCTAAAGACTTGGAATGTTAGAAATGCAACAGCCTCCTACTCTGCATGAAAGGGGCCGAGAGTAGGGTTTGGGTGGTGGAGTGTGGAGGATGTTCCCCTCTTCTCCAAAACCAATACTTACCCTTCAAAGCGGAAGTGGATGGTACATTCTTCAATCTCCCCAAAGACTGAGAACCGGTGTTTCAACTCTGACCGAGTCATGCAGCCTGGAATCTTCCCAATGAAGACCACCCTCCTCTCCTCCTGGATTCAGGTAGGTAGGCACAGGGGAAAGCAAAGAGGTAAGCCGGGATCTCTTTTCCCCCTTTACCCTTAAGTGAAGGGTTAGTACACTATTAATTACAAACTCAAAATACACCTTTCTCCCTATGCCACTGCCCTTAACTCACTATTGCACGTTCCTTCTGAAGAATTTTCTGCCTTTGGTAGTGGTCCTGGGAATCATAGTAGTCGTACCTAAGAGGAGAGGAATTGCAGGCTAGGGCAGGCCAGGCACCTGACCAAGGGGAACTATATGAACCAAGACCTCAAACCTCTGGTTTCACCTCTCCAGCTTATACTCACACTCACCTCCTTCTCCTATTGCTCCTCCTACGGGGGGATGGAGAACGAGACCGGCTCTGAGAACTGGATGAGGATGAAGAAGGAGAAGAAGAAGAAGATGACGAGGAAGATCGCCGCCGAGAGGGTCCCCAGGAATCGCAGCTGGACCTAGAAGAGGATCGGGTACTGCGGGAGCAGCGGGACCTGTACCTGGGGAAATAAGAAGACTCTGTGCCCTCAGTTAACCTTTCATCCCTGTCCTGCCCCTGAGACGTGTTCAATCCAACTTTTCCCATGGTGGATGGGCAAAAACCTAGATTAAACATCAGAGACCTATTCCAGACTCTTGCCTATACTTTCCCCTGGTCGATCAATCATTCACTAAGTGCCCATTATGCCAGGCAGGTATAATGTGCTAGGAGCTATGGATACAAAGAAAAAAATGAAAGTCCCTGTTCTCAAGGAGTTCACATTCTACCAAAGGAGATGATCTCCCCCCCTTCCATTTTGGTTCCAATTTCCAAACTCCTCCCTCAGGGCTGTTCTGAGGGCAAAACAAGAACAGATGTAGAAGAGTTTTTGTCCTCTCCAAATTAAAAGGAAATCCAAAGTTTCTTCTAATGCTAACAGGGAAATCAGAAAAGACAGTTGTGGCTTGAAGGCATTTCTACCACATTTCCCTACAGAAAAGGGCATTTTTAATCAGCACAGTATCCAGCATATAATAGGTAAAAATGCTTACTGACTCCACTTGCAGCCTTCTGATTCTACTCAGCCAGAGCCTGAGACTCTGCCTAATCAATACCCCAATTCCCAGGAGGCACTTCCTAAACACTAACTGGCAGGACAACCTAACTTCCTCAACCCACCCAGGTCAGGCTATGTATGAATACAGGTGACACCTCTCATATATAGTCCCTTCTCTTCTCTTCCAATACCCTGATGCAGGTCTTTAACTCCCACCTGGCCTATATTGCAACAGCCTTCTGGTAGGTCTCTCTCTGCCTTAAGTGTCTCCCCATTCAACCATCCTCCATGAAGCTGCCAAAATAATCTTCTTAAAAAAAAAGGGGGGGGGGCAGCTAGGTGGCGCAGTGGATAGAGCACCGGCCCTGAGGTCAGGAGGACCTGAGTTCAAATCCGGCCTCAGACCAAAACACTTGACACGTACTAGCTACGTGACCGTGGGCAAGTCACTGAACCCCGATTGCCTCACTAAAATAAAAACCAAAAAAAAAACCCACTTCTGACCCACATCACTCCCCTCTTCAAAAAACTCTAGGATCAAACATAAAATGTTCTGCTTCACTTTTAAAGCCCTTCATAATCTGGCCCCTTCCTACCTTTCCAGTTCTCACTTTACTCACCTCCATGTACTTTACAATCCAGTAATACTGGCCTCCTTGCTGTTCCTTGCAAACAATACTCCATCTCCAGACTGGGTCTCCTCCCTCCTAGTTGCTACCTTTTGCCTTCAAGACTAAGTACAAATCCTACCTTCTACAAGAAGCCTTTCCCAGTCCCTCCAACCCCTGTGCTATTGCCTTCTTCCCTGACATAAACTCCATTTTACCTTTCATATATCTTTTATACACACACACACACACACACACACACACACACACACACACACAGAATTGTTTGCATGTTGTCTCCCCTCTTAGAACATGAGTTCTTTGAGGGCATGGACTGTTTTTGCTTTTCTTTGCATCCCAAACATTTATTTACACAGTGCCTGAAACATAGTAAGCACTTAATAAGTGCTTATTAATTCGACTTGATCTAAAGTGATCCTATACCCAGTGCTTCAGATGGAAGAGGAAGTTAACCAAGCTCACCTTCGCCACCTCTTGGGTGGTGGGGAGATAGACCTGGACCGGGACCGGGACGGGGAATGAGAATGGGAGCGGGACCTGGACCTGGATGAGGATGAGGAGGATGAGGAGGAAGATGCCTCACTGGCCCCATTGGAGCAGGAGCGGCTGCTGCGGCCTCGCCACCCATGGCCTGGGGGGCTGGATGAAGCAATGGCCTTCTGATAGCAGTGCACCGGCTGCTTGACCAAAGGCCCAGGGGGAGTCCTAGTGTCATCATTGCGGCCAGGTGAAGCCTCTGGGGACAGCAGCACAGAAGGCTGCTGGGCAGGGGTAGAGGCTGGGGCTGGAGGGGCTGCTTCCAGTTCTTCACTAGTCCTATGATCCAGCTGCTGTTTCTGGCATGTGGCTGGGCATGCTGGCAGGGCAGCTGAAGGGCCCAGAGAAAGGATAGGTTTAATGGTTATATCTTGATGTCGTTTGACATTCCAGCGGGAACCCAACTCAGGCCCTGAGGCCACTGTAGGGCTTAGGATGCAATAGTCATGGTCCCCAGAGCCCACATGAACGGGGCTAGGTCCTGGGACGCGACCTCGGAGCCGAGCTGCAGCTGCACGTTTGGCTTCCATGTTTCCCACTGGCTTCTGCACTCTATCTTGGGTAGGGGAATCAGGGGACCCTGGCTTGGCCAGTAATGAGACTGCAGCCAAAGGTTTCCAGAGCTGATGAGGTGGAGTGGCAGGAGGGGTCAGGCCTGCAGGAAAGAAAGAGAAAATATAAATGATCCCACCCCCCAAATAACTGCATGACATGTCCAACATGGCTACTTAGCACCAAGCGCTGCAACCCAAAATCGAGGAATTGGATCCTCCCCTCACTCCCATCATTCATACCTGCTACGTTGGCCAGCTCTGGGGCTTGTAACCGGTCAAGAGGTCGCTTTTCCTGGGAGTTGTCAACCCTGCTAGGAAGAAATGAGAACCCAGCTAAAGCCTCATTCCATCTATGTCCCCCTTGAACTGTCTATTCTAGCTATAAGCAGGTATGGATGCAAACAATATCTCTGCCATTCCCTATGTCACCAACTCCTTATGGAACAGGTTGCTCCTTTTCTGGGACCCTTGTGAAATGAAGGAAGCAGCCCTCTCTTCAAATGCAATGTCTCAGAGACAAGATAAGTAAAGCAGAATGTTCTTGGGGAAAGCTGGAAGAATTGGGTAAAGGAGGGAAGTTCGACTCTGGGAAGAGGGGGAAAGAGTTTAAGTCAGGGACTTTTCTTCCCCCAAGTAGCCGCAAGGGAAGTTACAGGCCAGTCACAGACTTCAATAATTAAAAGTACTCGAGAGAGATGGAAGGAAAGTTGCTGTGGGGATATTTGGGAGCCCAGGTTTCACGCTATCTCATTCCCACACTACCCCCTCAGCCAGCCCAAGGAGAAGGAGGTATTCTCTGTAACTCTAAGAAGCAGGGGTTATGGGGCAGCTAGGTGGCACAGTGGATGGAGCACCAGCCCTGGATTCAAGAGGACCTGAGTTCAAATCTGGCCTCAGACATATAGCACTTACTAGTTGTGTGACCCTGGGCAAATCACTTAACCCCATTGCCTAGCCAAAAAAAAAAAAAAAAAAAAGAGCAGAGCAGGGGTTACCTTGGGGGACATGCTCATCCTGACAACCACTACCAACCAAAAACTGTGGGGTAACCCCACTTCATACTAACCCTGAGTTTCCTATAGCTAAGGTATCAGCAGGTCCCACTGGAATACACTCCTTTTTGACTGCAAAGAAATCAAACATTATTAATAGAACAAACAGTTGCTGAAGGTCAGGAATTCCAGATCAGAAAATACTTGAGGGAGAATGGGCTTTCCATCAACACATTCAGTTTATTCCCATACTGCTCTTCCTTACTTTGTATCCCTATGCAGAATGCTACCTCTTAGGGGCAGGGCCTAGATCTCCTCCAGGACATAGCCAAGCAAAAGGCCAAAAACACATTACTGAACTAGGGCTGAATTAAAGATGCCTTCAGCAGGGTTCATTGTTGATGGAGTTACGAATCTGGACAATCATTCTGGAAACAATTTAGAATTATGCTAAGAAAGTGAATGAAATGTCCATACCCTTTGACCAGCATTGTAAATGTTTGACAACTAGATCTCAAAAACAAAAAACCAAACTGTACACATTTTAAGTTTAATCTATATGAACTTTTTCTCCATCACTTTCTTAAGTTGAGACTTAATCAACAGAACAATTAAATGAGGTCTTGAATTTAGGGTTTTGCCAGTCTCCAAAGTAAGTGCTTACACTGAAAATCTAACAAATCACTGAGTCAGTCAGAGCTGGTTCCAGTTTACCCCAACCTTTGACCCAGATATCCTACTGCTAAGCATATGCTTCCAAGGAGGTCAAAGAATAAAAAAAAGGTACTATATACACAAAAATGTTTCTAGTAGCACTTTTGTAATACACAAGAACTGGAAACAAAGTAGACGTTCATTGGTTAAAAAGTGTTAAACAACCTGGTAGGTGAATGTAATGGAAAATTATTGCACTGCAAGGAACAAAGAATAATAACAATACTAAAGAGAAGCACAGGAAGGTCTGCTGGAAACAATGCAAAGCAAAATAAGAAGAACCAGCAAAACAGTTATCCATCATAATTAAAGATGTAATAATGCACTTCATTTAAAGAGGCTGTAGGGGCAGCTAGGCAGCACAGTGGATAGAGCACCAATCTTGGTGACCCTGGGCAAGTCACTTAACCCTGACTGCCTCCAAAAGAAATAGAAAATAAAGAGGTTGGAGAGCATGAGTAGGAAACATGGCATATAATGTTAGAACTAGGTGATATATTGCCTGGATATGAAAGGCAGGAGAGATACAGTGGGGGAATATAGATTATGTAAAGACAAAAAGGACCAAGAAAATATTTTTTTCTTTAAAGAAATAAAAATGATCAGAGTTAGATTTTGGGGAAAAAATTAATACTGAGAAACACGGAAAAACTTCTATGAACTAATGAAAAGTAAAAGTAAGCAGTACCCACATAATGTTTTATATATAGGCAACAATTTACATTGTTAAATAGCAACAAAAAAACATCCAGAATGATGTGTAATAAAGAATGACCAAGTTTGCCCCCAAGAGAAGAGAAATGCTCCTGCCCCTCATTTTTGTAAAGGTAAGGAATTATGGGTATGGGTATACTGGATATAAAGTCAGACTAAGATGGCGTGGTCAGTTTTGCTCAACGACCCCCTCCCCCTTTTTGATTTTTTGTTATAAGTAGTGGTTCTCTGGGTAGGGTAAGTACAGAGTCTCATATTTGGAAACGAAGGTGATATAAAAAACAGAAAACAAACAATATTTTTAATAAATTAAGAAAAAAAGTTTAAAAAAATTAAGAATGTAAAGAATTAAGAATTTAAAGAAATTAAAAAAGAAAATCAATGTAGGCAAACCAAAAAACTTACTCCACTGTACTACCCACCCTCCCAAAAAAGAAAAGGGAATTGCTGTTCACCTTCAGACTTCTCAAATTGCTCCAGAAGACTGGATAGGTCAGATGCTTCAATTCCTACAGCAAGAAAGGGAAAAAAAATGTGTCTAGCTGTACACTGGCTGGGAAGAGACAAGTGTCCACTTCTATTGCCACCACCTCATCGGAGAAGCCCTAAACACTTTCCTTTTAGAATTCCCTACCAAAAAATGAGAAACCTAATATGGAAGGAAAGGTAAGAATCTCCCTTAACCCGGAGCAGCAGCAGTAGCAGGCCTTCTCCCCACACCCCCAGCCCCAACCAGAGAAGAGGCAGGGCAGGAATCTACCTGTTCATGGGCACTCACCAATCTCACTGATAAAAGCTTGTACCACATCCTTAGAACCTTGGGAGTGTGTGGAAGGCAGAATGTTGAGTCTTCGAAGTCTAGATGGATGGACGCTAGGCATCTTGGCCACTCGGCACTGCTTTGGCACAGACACAGTGGCATCTACAGGGACTAAGAGTGACTCACTATGCCCACTCTCCTTGACTTCAGGCTGTGTGTTCCGGGGGGCAGAACCTTCTGACATGGGTTGGCCCTTCTCAAGCAAGGGCTCCTCAGGAGGAACCCCTTTCTGTCTGGCACCTGGGCTCTCTGGGGTAGCCACTCTGGGTTTCGGTCTAGGGGACAAGGACTTCAAGGGTTGTTGAGAAGCTGGCCCTTGCTTGACCTCTGCTCTTGAAGGGGCTATCTGAGGGGCTTCCTGGGAAGTTGGCACAAGAGTAGGTGAAGGAACCACAGACACTGCACTGGAGGCAGGTATACTACCACAGGTCCCAGTGGAGAAACTATCAGTAGCCTGGGTGGGTGGTGGGATGCTCTGAGCTACTGGAGGAGGTGGTGGTGGTGGTGGTGGTAATGGGGTTGGGGGCACAGCTGGCCAATAAGGAGGCTGTGGGCCTGGACCCCAGCCCATAGGCCCATAAGAATGATCAGAACCATAAGCTGTCACTGGGGCAGGAGGTAGGGCCCAAGGCACAGCAGGGGTACTGGGGAGTGGAAAGGCATTGGATGTGCCTGGCACTGGGGGTGGCAAGCAAGGATAATTAACAGATGGTGGCACAGAGGGGTAACAGGGCCAGGAAGGCACTGGGGCAAATTGGGTATAGGAATCAGGAGGCCTTGGGAGACAGGGTGGGGGGAGGGTTGGGAGAAGCAGATCAGGCATTGTCTGCCCACTAGAGGAAAGTGGCACCATGGATGGCATTCCTGGCCCACCTGGAGGGGGTGGCATTGTGGGTGGCAGAGCTGGAGGCATGGGAATCTTCAGGGGAAGACTCACTGTGGGAGGCACAGCTGGGGGTATGGGCATTGTGGGGTGCACAGATTGCCTCACTAGAGATGTATGTTTGACTGGCAATGGGAGGTCAGTCTCAGGGGAAGCCAAGCTGGAGGACACGGAACCTGCAGGCGGCTTGGGGCCTGGCTGCTGGGCTGTCCTCTGCCTGGCCATGCCAGGAGCAGTGGGCCTTAAAGGTACTTCAAGGCCATGCTGCTCAGCTGTCTTGGAAGGGACAATGAGGCATGGGATCTCTGCTAGCTCCGTAGGTGTCTCTGGGATGCTGGGCCACTTTCCAGCTGGGGTCTGGGGCTCTGGCACTTGCTCATCTGCTTGGCGCTGCTGCCTTCGCTGCCAATACTCTGAGAGGCTCAAAGGTCGGGGTTTGGCTTCCTGGGCCCCAGTGTTGGCACTGCATTCTGTCTTTGGGGAGCTCGAGACCCCCTCACTTTGGGGACTGGTGACCTCAAGGCTTGGCTCTGGGATCTGTGACTGGTCACAATTCCCTGAGGCCAAGGACGTCTCACCACTGCTCGAGCAAAGGGTCGCTGGCTCCCCTTTGGCCAGGTCAGACTGTTCAATGGGACTCAGTGAGGCACAGTCAGGCTCTGCTGAGTCTGGTTCTCCTAGACTTAACATCTCTTTGGGTTCAGTCACTCTGGCCCGGGGCTTTCGCCGACCACCGGATGACTGAACCCCTCTGGAGACCCCTTCCAGGGGCTGTTCTGAGGACTGGCTGTCAGGGGTGGATTGGCTTCGTGAAGAGGACCTGAGCTTTCGAATATAGGTCCTGTCTCCATCTTGATCTGGCACTAACAGAACTTCATTCTTCTTTCTCCGACTCCTGTGGCCCCTTTGGCTTTTCTGTGTATCTGAAGACACATCTGTAAAGGGTCCTTTGGGGCCATCAACAGATGTTGGCATCACTTCATCACCAGGCAGGACTGTGCATGTTAGCTCCTTCTCTTTCCCACCTTCAGTATTGCCTGGGACTGTTCGCTCTTTCTGAAAGGACTGCTCCCCACACATGGGGGTCTCAGCTTCCAGGTCAGACTCTAGCAGCTGCTGAGTAAGATCAGTCTCCAATTCTCCCATGTTCTGGCCTGGAGGAAGATGGCGCAGGACCACTGGAATCTCTAGAGCCTCACCAGCCATAGACCCTTGGCCTAGGATCTCCAGAACCATGCCCCCTTCAGCCAGCATCAACTCTTTGGTCTGTTCCTCATGCTCATCCCCAGAAGAGTCCAAACAAACTGTGAGACTTGGCAAACAGTATGGATGCATGGCCCGTACGAGCTCACTTAGAGAGGAGATGCTTTCCTCTCCAACTGGGGCAGCCTCCTCTTCTTCTTCCTCCTCCGGACAGGCCAGGTGCATAGGGAAGTCTTCAGTGTTGTCTAGAGACGGGCCCATCGTTGCGACTCTGTCTCTGCCCAGGCTGGCATCTTCTTCCTCCTCTCCATCACTGCGCTGCAGGGGGGACAGCTGACCCCATCGGGGCCGGGATCTTGGGGTCTTCCATCCTGGGATCTTTGGGGAAGAGGTCTCTAAGAAGGGAGTTGGTGGAAGATCCCAGGAGGGATCAGACAGACACATCTCAACCTACATGGGGAGGGGAAAAGTGAACAAGTCAGATGAAGGGGGAAAGGGGAGGTCACTGGAATTGAGGAGCAATCTCCCAGATCTGGCAGAAAGGGCGTAAGAAGACTCAGGTCACTTATCCTTTGATGGCTTTTGTTATAAGGACACTACCTGGGATCCGCAAGACCTGGGAATCTACTTCAAGCTCTGCCAATTACCAGGACTGTGACATTGGGCAAATTACTCTTTCTGGCCAAGTTTTAATTTCTTTCCCAGAAAAATAAGGGTGTTGTCTAGTGTTAAAAGACCCTTCTGGCTCTGATTCTAAGCCAGATCCTGGTCTTTCCAGACTTGATCAAATGATTTCCCAATGGGCCCGAGGTGCTCCTCCAATTCACTTTACTCACCCTGCCAATAGTAGGGGTCATAGTGTGTGTCTTGGGTCCCCACTGGTCATCCACATCACTTTCCGGGGATGATCGAGAAAAACCCAGTAGTTTGTGCAACTAAAGGGGTACAAAGAAAGCCAATCAGTCCCTGGTGGGGGGTGAGGGTGGGGAGAAGTAACAGCAGTAGTCACCAGGGAACCAATCACTCTAGACCTGTTTTGTTCTGCCACTATAGCTGCCCCCACCCCCACTTCTGTGGTCCATCCCTGCCAAGGACAGATAATGAAGCAATCAACTGATATTACTTGGTTCACATTCAGAGACCAGGACCCTCTGGGGACACAGGGCTAAATCTGTGATGAAATGGCCCACAATGAGATTAGACACACAGTCCCAACCATTAGCATGTGTTCTAACCATGGAGCAACACACCCAATACCCTGACAGCCCAACACTGACCGAGGTGCTCTCCCGAGGAGATACAAGCAACTCCGAGTCAGGAATGGTGTCAAAGGGTGACGGATTCTCAGAGTCAGCATTGTCAAGTATCTCAGTGAGGGCTGTGAGCAGAGACACTTCATTCTGGTCGTCCGAGGTCACCTTGCTCTGCTCCCAAGGAAGAAAGGGACAGAGTTGGTTACAACCAACTAGTCACTGAGAAGGTACAAAGCTGAATGCTCATATGCTACATATTCCCCAAGTCAATCACTCATGGAATCCAAATGATTCACTTCCCCTGCCTCCCAAGTCAATCCACTCATGAAGGAGTGAATTTTACAGGAACAGATGCAGATGGGTCTGAGAATACAGACTCCTGGGTTCTATTCCTGCCATTTCTCCTATGTAGCCAGCCACATACCCATTCCTCTATCACCTGGAACCAATAACTATAGACTCTAGAACTGGGGTTCTGAACCTTTGTAGCATCACTGACCCATCTGGCAAGCTGGTGAAGAACCTTCTTAGAATAATGCTTTTAGATGTGTAAAATACACAGGATTACAAAGGAAATCAATTATATGGAAATTGTTATCAAAAATTTTTTTAAAACAAGTTCATGGACTACAGAGATTAAGAACCCCTGCTTTACATCTTTTCCTGCCTCCCTTTATAAAACAGGCCACCCTCCTAAACTCTGAGGTCCATCCTTGCCAAAGACAAATATGAAATAACCACCTGAACTTGCTTGATTAATTTCCGTAGCATATCCAAAGTACACAAAGCCTCTTACTCCTCCATACTTCCACATGGGCTCTGTCTCCTGGAGCCAGGTGACCAAGGCACAGAAGGGCCAGGAGGGCAGTGCCATAAGTTTCAAGTCCAGAGTCAAGGAACTTTGGAAACTTCGCAAGCTCCTTCCCAGAGGCTCCTTTTCTATCATAAGGTAATTCCTTCCAGTCTCTGGCCTCCTGGGTACGTGGAGTTCCTCCTCTCCCCGAAACCACCCCTTCCTGCTCACCTCTCCGACATCGCTTAAGTCTTCAATGATGGAGATGATGGAGGCATCCATATAGCTCTGCACGGTCTCCAGCAGGGACTGGTCCTGTAGGAACATTTCTTCTTCATCTCCTGCTTCATCACCTCCGTCCAGGTCAAACAGGTCATGCTGGGCCAGGCTAAAGAAGCCAGCCTCCTCTTCCTCCTCCTCTTCCAACAGAACCTGGAAAACAAAAAAGCCAGTTGGCCACGGTCCACCTATCTCTTCCCCTAGCCATTGTCTTTTTGTCCTTCTGGGCATGAGGAGAAGGGAATAATGGAGCAATGTAGGCAAAAGAGGGGGTGGAGGAAATGCTCTCATTGGATAGATCCTGGGACCACTAAGCTAGAGCACAAAGGAGTGGGTGAGAGGCTAGAGGGCAAGGTGGGCCCAAATTATAAATGGCCTCAGAAGTTAGGACTTCTTTCTGTAGGTAATTTGGGATCAGTGAAAGATTCTGGGCATGGTCATAACATGATCAGTGATATCTGGATTAGTCTGATGGCCTGCAGAAGATGGATTGGAAGGAGGGACTGAAAGCAGAGGGACCAGTAACTTGGAGCCTCTCCCTTTCCTAACATCTAAAACAAAGTCTACTATTCCCTCAAGACCACCTTTCCAGGAGACTTTAAGTGGACTCTCCTTTCTCCAAACACCTCCAGCACTCATCAATATATGTTCATTGTGCACTTCAGAACAACTTGTTAGCACATATTACATTAACTTTTTACACACTGATGTCCTGGCTCCTAATGGAATTTTTTTGTTGCCCTCCCTCACCACCACCCTCCCACCCCCAACAAAGGGCTGGACACACAGCAGGCATCAAGGAAGAGGAATAGTGTGGTATAATGGGAAAAGCACTAGACTTGAGATGCACAAGAGGAGGTTTCTACTGTAACTATGCTGTCCTTGGTAAGCTACTATACCCTCACAAAACTTCAATTTCTTCATCTGTACAATGGGGGATAATACTTGTAATTGTCAACTGAGAGGCATCTCTAAAATGTCATTACTCTGCGTGATTTGACTCTGAAGGAACTGACATGAAATGACCCCTTGATTCCAGAGCTCACAAAAGAGCCTGAGAAAGGCAGGAAGATCAGTGTGTAGTTTAGAGGCTTTGGTCTTGACACACCCCAAACTTCCCCGGGAAGGAGCAGACATAGTCCCTGTCAGCCTCATTAGGTAGGAGTCACCAGTCCGGGCCTGCTGTGGGCGTGGGTGAGGACCATAGTAGGCCACTCCTAAGGGAGTCAGGCTGGGCCAAATGGATGGGCATCTTCTGCCGCTCTGTTTGAGTAGTTGCCAATGCCAGGGGAAACTAAGCAGATTCTCCCTGCTGGGGTGTTTCATGCCTCCTCATGAGCTCCCTCTACCTACCACCATCACATAGAAGTCGTGTTTCCCCTTCTCTAACTGGGGAAGACTAAGTGGCTCTAGAACAAGAGGGAGAAAGGGATGAATATGAGAGATGGAGACTTAAGGGAATGTATAAGGATAGTGTTAAGAGTATCAAGCATTAGGCACTAAACTCCTCCCAGCCATCTAAAAACCTGTAATTAGGGCTACCTGCTGGATCTTAGGTTGGGATCTCAGCTGGTTCAGCAAATACTCCCAGGGTGAGTTATATCTGTACCTCACCCACCACCCAGAAAACTTCTGCCACAGCCCCCCAGCCAGCAGATTCCAATCCTAGCACAAATACTCACTTACCCTCAGATCATTTTGGGTACCTCTGGGCCACAGCCTATCCCAGCCCAGTTCAACTACTTCCTGGACCCATTCCCCTCAATGCCAATAATAGCTCACATTTAAAAAGTGCTTTAAAGTCTGCAAAGCAGCTTTCTCAAAGGAACCCTGTGAGGTAAGCAATGCAAGTGTTATCAACATTCTACCCAAAAGGAAACGGAGGCTTATAAATTCACTGATTTGCCCATCACAGCACTGATAATATGGAGACTCAAACCCATGTTTTCTGACACTTTCCATTATGACAATGGTTCCTCTAAGCAAAGGAGAAGAAAGTTGGTAATCTAACTAAGCCAACCCCTTCTTCACTTCCCATCTTGTGACTCCCATCAACTTCCACACTGACTAAGCACATAGTACCTGAAGAACACCGTTTGAGGTGCTGGGGGGAATATAAAAATTTAATAAAATATTAGCTCTCCCCTCTTGAAGCTCACAGTTTAGTAAATTGCTGTTTATTTGATCCTAAGGGGCCCCCCGATACCAATTTTTCTTCCCTCTCCCTTCTATTCCCAGTAAAGTAGGAAGGCACCCATCAGCAAGATGTGCTTATGTCAAGAACTAGCTGTCCTAGGAAAAGAACTGAGAAAAGAGGAAGCACAGTATCACATTAAATACAGGATAAGTACCAAGTCTGTGGGGCCTGAGTTCAAGTTAACAAAACATGAATCCCCAACCAGCAATGCTGGGTTAAAAAGGACAAAAATTAAAATTGTGCCAACCCTTAAGGAACTTACTTCAGGCCAGTCACTTCTCCAGTTTGCCTCAGGGGCTCAAAATTACAAGCCCACCCTCCCCAGGAAGAGAGAGGCAAGAGCCACCCCTGCAGATAAAGGATTTGAAAGACAAGAAAACTCCTGACCTAGAAGGTCCCCAAAGTCCTATAAAGTCCACTAAGGCTGCAAGAGGTTTGAGGAGAGGGAAAGACCAAGTACCTTTTTAGGAGGGGGCCCTTACCTCCAAAGAACCAGAGAGATGGCCCTCAGCAGTGGCAGAAAGGGAGTGGAAGAGGGCCAGCAAGTTCCCTCTGTGACCCCCTGAAACTGACACTCACTGGGGGGAGAGGTCACTTCACTCAGAAACATGCCCATCCCAGAGCAGACACCCGCAGGTGCCTATGCCTCACCCCTGCACCACCCCCAACTGGAGAGAAGACTTCAGGCCTAAACCCTCCTCCTTCCTTAAGCCAAGGGCAGTGGGTGCCCCATTCTCCCAGCCCGGGGTAACCCTCTTCCAGCAGGATGGAGCCCAGAATCCTTAAGCACATCTGGAAAAACCCTTCTCTCTCGCAGCTGGCTAGAGTAGGCAGCAGGATGAATTTTCTGAGGGGTGGAGGAGGCCTCTCGGGCTACACAGCTCCAGAACCCCCCTCCCCGCCGCCCCAGCCCTCAGCCCCCGGCCCGCGAAGGGGGGGGCACAAGGCTAGCGTCTAGGGGAGGGACCTGCGAGCCCGACACACCCAGTTCCAAGCAGCATGGCCTCAGCGCCGGCCCCCGCAGCCGATAAGCCGCCCGGCTACTAGGATGGGGGGGAGGAAGGGGGTGCGGACAGGGGGCCACGTGGACAACCCCCCATCCCCCGCCCCACGTGGACTGCGGGCACCCCGGCGGTGTCCCCGAGCCGGGCCCAATCCACGTGGATGCGGGGACTGCAGTGAGGGCTAGAAGGGGGAGGGCTGGGCGGGGATCAAGTTCTCCCGGGAAAATTGTTCACCCCTCCTTAAACACGCAGACCCCTACGTGGCCAAGAAAAAATCGGGGCTGGGCGAGAGGAAGGGGGTCTCACTTCAAGAGGACCCCGGCCCCCCAGGACTCGGGCTCCCTGAAGGCTGCGAGGGAGGGAGCGCTACAAAACAGCCAAGGAGAGCTGCAGGGGATGGAAAGGGGTCGGTGGGGCCAAATCTACTGCCCCCCATGTCCCAGGCCCCCCCCCCCATCCTTCCCCCTGCCCCAGTCCAACCTCAACGACCCGGCTCCGGCCCTGGACAAGCGGCGTCCGCAGCTCCTCCAACCTCCCTCCTCCCGCTCCCTCCTTTGACACAGTAGCTTTTCCAAGCTTAAGGAAGCAGCCCTACACCCGGGGACCCAGGTCGCCCCCTCCTCCCAAATGCCGTTCTCCGGCTGTCTCCACGGTCCCTCCTTCCCCACCCCAGCTTCGGGAGCTTCCACGTGTCACAGCCCGGCATGTGCCGATCTGCCTCCTCCCGGCCGCCCGCCCGGCTCTCACCTGCTGCCGACCCTTAGGGCTCTCCGCGGCTCCTGGGGGCGCCGGACTCCGGCTGCAGCACCCACGCTTGCCACTGCGCATCCCGCCGCCGGGCCCTGGTCCGGGGCCCCCTCCTGGGGGCGGCGCGGCACCGTCTTCCCGTCCCCGGCGCGCCGCCATCTTGGCCCCAGAGCGCGGCTCTGAAGCTCTAGCACCGCCTCGCCCTACCGGCTGTGGAGCCGAAGAACTACAATACCCCGAAAGCTCAGCCGGACTACAACTCCCAGTGGACCCGGCGGAGAGCCTGCCTCTACCCCAGAGTAGGGGCGCGGTCACTTTTGGGATTCGTAGTTCTTCCTGAGCTCAGGCGAGGGGACGTGTGCGGGGCTGGCTGGAGAGGAGTAGTGGGTGTTGAGTTCCCTCTGCTGCAAAAACAGTCTTTGGCCCTCGACGACCCAGTAACTCCAGATCGTCCTCGTTCTCCACCTCTCGGATCACTATGTCCCCAAAGTCATGGAATCCCAGAGTTCGAAGGGATCTCAGAGTCCCTTCAACTAGTCCAACCCATGTGGGAATAGGAATCACCTCTACAGCATGTCCAACAGGTGGCCCTCCAACTTCTGTTTGGAGACCTCCGGTGAAGGGGGACCCACTATCTCTTGAGGCATCCCGGGCCACTGTTGGACAGCTCTCAATTTTTAGGAATAGGAAGTTGTACCTTATGTGGAGCTGAAATCTGCCTCATTCTGACTTCTGGGGCCAAGAAGCATAAAGTTAATCACTGTTCCCCTTGACAGCCTTTCAGATCTTTGAAAATGACTATCATTCCTCTCTCTCTAACTCATCTCCTTCAAGCTCAACATTCCCCCTTTCTTCAAATGATTTAAGTGTGACATAGTGTCCAGTCTTCTCACCAACCTGGTCATGGTCCCCTTGGACTTATCACAGTCCTTCCTAAAGTGTGTCTGACCAGAGTCAATAGAAGAATCTCCTTCCTCTTTCTGGACACTATGTGGGATAAATCCCACGGCTTCTTTGCTCATACATACTCCCTCAGACTCTTCTCCTTAAATCCAATATCCACCCCTACCCTATGCAACCCCATGAATCTTCCATTCATCTTCCAAAACAGGGCGTCCATCAGATCATTCTCCTGCTCAGAAACTTTCAGTGGCTTCTCATTGCCCGAAGGATAAAGAACAACCCCCTGATCTCAAACTATATGTCCTGGAGACATCTTAAACACAGTATGTCAAAAACTGAACTCCTTATCTTTCTCCCCAACTCTCCCCTCTTAACTTCTTTCATATTTCTACTGTATTTCCACTCAACCGGGCTTGAAACTTAGGTGTCAACCTTGACTTCTCTCACTCACTCCCATATCCAATCCATTTCCTAGTCTTATGTAATAAATCCCCTTCTAAACTACCAGCACCCTGGTCCAGGCACTCTTGATTAGACTATTGCAGTAGCCTTCTGGTTGGTCTCCTTGACTCAAGTCTCTTCCCACTTCAGTCCATCTTCCACTCAGATGTCAAAGTGATTTTCCTAAATCTCAGTGCTAACCGAGTTATTTCCCCTTCAGTGATTTCCTGTTACCTCTAGGATCAAATATAACATCTTCTATTTGTCTTTCCAGGTCTTTACAACCTGGTCCCTTCCTAGCTTTGCAGTCTTCTTACATATTACGCTCCTCCACAAATTCTAAAATTCAATGATATTGGCCTCCTTGTACATGACGCTCTATATCTCAAATCTCTACCTTTTCACTGGCTGCTCTCATGCCTGGGATTCTTTCTCTCCCTGTGTCTTCTTTCTGGCTTCCCTGGCTTCCTTCAAGTTTCAGCTCAAATCTTACTGTCTGCAAGAAGCTTTTCCAGGTGTATCTTAATGCTAGTGCCTTCCCTATGGGATTCTCTCCAATTTATTTTGTATATATCATCTCTCTCTCTCTCTCTCTCTCTCCATATATATACATATATAATATATGTGTGTATGTATATATGTATGCATGCATGCATGTGTGTGCATATATATACATATATATAGAGAGAGAGAGAGACCAATATATCATATCTTATACCAAGATAAGGTCAAAATGGGTATATGATTTAGACATAAAGCAAATTAAAGGAGCATGGAAAATTTTACCTGTCTAATCTATGGATAAGGGAAGAATTTCCAATGACCAAACAAAAGATAGAGAAAATCATGAGAAATAAAATAGATAATTTTGATTACATTAAATTAAAAAGTTTTGGGGACAGCTAGTAGCATAGTGGATAGAGTGCTGGTCCTGGAGTCAGGAAGACCTAAATTCAAATCCGGCCTCAGACACTTAATAGCTGTGTGACCCTGGGCAAGTCACTTAATCCTGCTTGCCTCAGTTCCTTATCTGTAAAATGAGCTGAAGAAGGAAATGGCAAACCACTTCAGTACCTTTGCCAAGAAAACTCCCAATGAGGTCACAAGAGTCAGACATGACTGAACAGCAATAACAACAAAAAGATTTCACACAAACAAAATCAATGCATCCAAGATTAGAAAGAAAGCAAGGAAACAGGGGAAGGGATTTTTTTTTAATAATGGACTCATTTTTCAAATACATAGGGAACTGAGCCAAATTTATACAAATAGGAGTCATTCCCCAATCGATAAATGATCAAAGGACATGAACAAGCAGTTTTCAGAAGAAGAAATCAAAGCTATCTAGAGTCATACGAAAAAATGTTCTAAACAATTATTGATAGAGAAATGCAAATTAAAACAACTCTAAAGTACTACCTCATACCTATCAGATTGGCTAACATGACAGAAAAGGAAAATGACAAATGCTGGAGGCGATATGGAAAAATTGGGACAATAATGCACTCTTGGTAAAGTTGTGAACTAGTTCAACCATTTTGGAGAATACTTTGGAGCTATGCCCAAAGAGCTAGAAAACTGCATACCCTTTGACCCAGCAATATCACTACTAGGTCTGAATCTCAGAGATCAAAGAAAAAGGAAAAAGATCCATATATACAAAAATATTTATAGCAGTTTTTTTTGTGGTGCAAAGAATTGTTCATTGAGGGGATGCCCATCAAGTGGGGAATAGCTAAACAAGTTGTAGCATGTGATATTGTGATATAAGAAATGATGGAGGGGGATGATTTCAGAAAAACCTGAAAAGACTATATGAACTGATGCAAAGTGAAGTGAGCAGAACCAGGAATATTGTACACAATAACAGCAATATTACACAGAGATCAACTGTGAATGACTTAGCTATTCTGATCAATACAATGATCCAAGGCAATCCCAAAAGACTTATGATGAAAAATGTTATCTGCCTCCAGAGAGAGAACTAATGGAGTCTCTGAGTGCATATTGAAGCATAATTTTTTCAATTTTTAAATTTTTCTTGCTTTTATTTTGCAACATGGCTAACCTGGAAATGTTTTTTATGATTTCACAAACATAATTGATATCACATTGCTTGCCTTCTCAATGGGTGGGGGAGGGGCGGGAGGGAGGGAGAGAATTCAGAAGTCAAAATTTTTTTTAAAAATGAATATTTAAAATAAAAAAAGACTGTGAGATCCTTGAGGGTACAGACTTTTTTTGACTTTCCTTTTTTTCCCCCCCAGATCTCACATACAATACAGAGGTACTTGGTAAATGTTTATTGACTTGTCTTGAATTGAGTGATCCTCCTATTCAAGGCTGGTCTCCAAAGTCTAGTCCTAATCTACCATTATTTCCCACTGATCCAAGCTCCCTCTTCTATGACTTTGCTCCCATTCCTGAAACTCTCTCCCTCCTCACCTTCACCTCCTCGGTTCCTGGCTTCATTTGAAACAGTTTAATTGTATCTTCTGCAGGAGTCCTTTCCCAATGTATCCCACTGCAGGGCCAAGCCTCTGAGATTCTTCCATGTAGACTATATATTTGTGTATCTATCTTGTAGGTACAATTTTTGTATATTGTTTCCCCATCAGAATGTGAGATCCTTGTAGACAGGGATCATGTTTTTGCTTTTCTTTGTATTGGTAACATTTAGCACTGTGCTTTGTGCATAGTAAGCTCTTGATAAATGCTTATAGACTGACATAAAAGGCCCTCCTTCCCCCACCTCTCCATCTGATTGGTCTCCTGCTGGCTTCTCAACTGTTTTCCTTCATTATTCTGGGCCTAGAATTTTTGTTCTTATTCTCCCACATAGACTATCTTCTACCTCCCCTACTCTTCCAAATCATAATCTGAGTCCTTCCATGGCCAGCTGAAGCCTCTACCCCTTGTAGGGGCTATTTTATTTCCTAGACTTCTGGTGTCAGAGTCTGTTGAGGGTACCACAATGCTTACAATCTATATCATGGCTCCTACGATAATTGTAGTTAGCATTTATTTGGCACCTACTATGTGCCAGGTACAAGTATTATCTCATTTGATCCTTACAACAACCCTAAGTGCTATTATTATCTTCATTTTATATTGAGGAAACTGAGTCAAACAGAGGTGAAGTGACTTGCCTAGGATCACACAGCTAGGAAGCATCTGATGTCGAATTTGAACTCAGGTCTTCAGGACTCCAAGTCCAACATTTTTTCCATTGTGCCACCTAGTTGCTGACCATAGGTCCTGAGTGGAACATTGGTTCTGGAAGTGCTTTATCCTCTGTGAATTCTTTAAAGTAAGCACCATGGACACAATGGCTCTCACTGAAGTCTCAAATCCTTTAACTTCCTTGTTATTCTCATACAAACCCCCCTTAAGCCTCTTTTACTTCTTAATTAAACGTTTAATTTTAAAAATTGAATTTCTATATATTTGAGAGACAGCATGGAATAATGGAAAGAGCATTGGACTTTGGAGTCAGAAGGCCTAGGTTCATATTCTGACTTTGACACTAAATGTGTGACCATAACAATTCACTTACCTTTTTGAGCCTCAGTTTCCTCATCTGTCATAATATTTGCACTACTTTCCTCTGCTCTACAAGATTATAAATTCCTTGAGGGCAGAAACCTTACTTATCTTTGTTTTTCCAGGGCCTAAATACAGACTTGTTCATTACAGATCCTTAATCAATGTTTCTCAAATTGAGTTAAATTGGTTGGGCAGACCTAGAAACGTGAAAGGCATGGCTGGGACTTAAACTCCTTTAGGCATGCAGAGAAACAACTGAGTTTAGAAAC